GCGAGCGAGTCCTCGAAAAGATAATGCGTCTCTGTGAGATTTACTAAGCAAGATAATCGCTGTTGCACGTACATCTGTGAGGAAGTAATTGTGCAGCACATTAGCCTACTTGTTGTTGTCGTGCTACATTTTTGCTTTCATATGTGGTTTGGCGAAAGTAAATTGTTCGCGGTAGACTTACAAGGCCATAAGCGAGCACGATGAATGGTATATATGTGGGTATGTATTTATATGGAGATGCTTATATCTGTATTCTTGGTTTCAGTGTGAAATTTTGCTGACAAGAAATGTTAGCGACTTGGTATCATTACACTCTTGCAACATGTTGCTAAAAAGTGGACAATTCCGCGGCCCTACTTTGGTTAATAAATAGCGCTAGCTTAGCAGTACTAGACACTGAGCTTTAGACAGCATTTGACCGTAGTTGGTCCAAAAAACGGTCATACACGGCGTATACGTAACTAAAGAAGAATATCATGCAGAACACGATGTCGTAATTTCATAAAATTCGCGTGTGGTTTTTGGAATCATGCAGACATGTGTATTTGTGTAAATTTTAGCATTGGTATATGTAAGTGTGCATGTGAGGTTTTCTCTTAAACATATTTATACTTAAAAATTTATAGAAAGTCAAGTGAATTTACCTATGAAAGAAGTTTTGTAAGCGTGTTCATGTTGTATTTGTAAATCATTTTAGTTGAGTGTGTGTGTTGTACAGTTACAGCCATCCAAAAAACATATGGCAGGTGTATAGTTGTCCAAATAAATACACAAACGTACATACATATTTATTATTGTTTAGAAACATAGAAACAAATAAATAAAGAAAAAATAAGGAAAAGCTTTAGAAAGTTACTTATAATAGACGCAGTAATTGTTGTTATATGTTTTTTATTCTTTCCTGTTTGTTGCTTTTTTCTTTGCTTTTCTGTTGACTATTTATTATTTGCATTCTGTGCATTCGTGCGCTGAACATTTTGTCGCGGTTCGCATATACATTGTTTGTTGTTATTGTTGTGCCATGTAAATATGCCAGCAAATTGTGCGCCCGTTGATCCCTCATGCAATACATGCACACTGCATGCAGCAACTAACCTAGCAATAGCATAGCAGCAGCATGCGCCTGTGGCTATGCTATTATTTGCTAACTGGCGCTCAAATATTATTCTATTCATTTTCAACTATTCTGCTTGCTTTTTCAAGTTTTCAATTTCATTTCCATTTCATTTTGGGTGTGGGAAATAGCAGTTGCGTTCAGTGGTTATATGATTGTGTATCTGGTTTGTGGAAATGGGTGAGTGTGAAATAAACTATTTATTTTCATACAAAATTGTGCGATTTAAGTGACCTGAAAGTTTAATTAAACGATTGTGCCTTATAAGTAATATATGCATTTCTAGAAAGTAGAGTGGTGAGGATTAAGTAAAAATTTGATTTCATGGGAAGAAGAGAGACAATTGAAATATATAAATTATCAAGTTGATTTTTCCGAAAAGTATAAATAATAGTATTAARTTAGACAATTAAGTTTAGACTGAATAAAGTTTTTAATGTTTTGTGGAAATAAAAAAATTCAAAAGTAGAAAAAAAAATTAACTTAAAAAAAAAAGTTGAAACAATGTCTCGTTCGAGTATTTCGATTTGTAACTGGCGAATGACACGAGCGTTGTTTTGCTCAAAGGCTTGAATCGAAGCGAGATTTTCCGAATAGACTTTTACACACTAAACCCGTTTATTTCAAAACTCTATTTTTAAGGTCGGTGGACACGATTTCTCTAAGAGTTTAGACCGAATTCGAATTATGTACATATCTTTACAATAACATTATCTATTTACTTAATAAAGGACTTTTGCTTTTGTTTTCATTACAACTTATTTTTTAAGCCAATAAATGGCTTAAATTTTAGCTAAAAATTAGATTTTTGTTCAAAGTCTAAAAAATATTAAAATTTTCCTTCATTGAAACCCGAGATTCACGGCACAATCACTTTTTCTGTGAGACACTCAGGGATATGAGGTCTCAATGGCTGAATTTCCAACGTTTTTTTTATCAAAATTTCAGGAGACATTGTCCAAATATGTCTGTTTATATTAAAAAAAAAAAAATCGTGAAAATTCATTTTTTTGTACCTTTAATAAATTCGTTGATTGATGCGATGTGTGGCAAGTGGCGCCGTTTTGTTGAAACCAAATGTCGCCGAGATCACAAACTTCAATTCCAGGTATAAAATAGTCGGTTATCATGGCGCAGTAATGCAACAGTCGTCATTGACAGTTGCGTTCTCGCCGGAGTAATTTTTGAAGAAATATGGACCGATGATTCCACCGGCCTATCAGTCCCACCATAGAGTTGTTTTTTTTTTTTTACTGAAATGACAGCTTTTGAATCTCTTTCGGTTGCTCTTCGTCCCATTAAGCCAGAAGTGGACCTCGCCGCTGAAAAAAATTTGACTCGCAAACGTCGGATCTTCTTCGAATTTTTCAAGAGCCCAGCGCAGCGATGTTGCTTAGGAAAGTCGAGCGACTTCAGTTCTTACACAAGCTATTCTTTTTGCGCTTTAAATTTAAGATTTCGACGTAAAATGCGCCAAGTCATTCAATACGTCAGTACGAGTTGCTGCGAATCTCGCCGAATCGACTCTCCACAGTCTTCGCGTACGCTTTCAGGTCGGCTGCTATATTTTCTTTGTCGAATATTGTTCAATTAAGAAAACCTTCGTCATTTCCGATGAGGCTCACTTCCATCTGAGTGAATGAAATTTATAGTGGGATTTGGGTTTTTGTCTGGTGGAATCATTGGCCCGCACTTCTTTCAAAATAAGACAGGTGATAACCAATTTTGTAGCGGCAATTGTAATAATGTGGTCCTGATAATAGTTGGTTCTAACAAGAGGGCGCTACGTGCCACATAGCTACTACAACACCCGAATTATTGTGATAAAAGTTTGTAAATGATATTACATTGACATTGAATGGCCTCCACAAAGTTGTGATTTAACAACACTGGACTAATTCCTGTGGGGTTGTTTCAAGTCATATGCTTTTAGGAATAAACCAGACTGTCTTTAAGCTTTAGAAGTCAATATTGAGCGGTTCGATTTAATGAAAAAAGTACTCGAAGGTTAGGTTCAAGAAGTAGCGGAGGCCATTGGAATGATGTTATATTCAGAAATTAACTATATCGATTGCACTTCTCACTGAATAAAATACATTTTTATTTCCTTAAGAATTTGTGTTTTTTTTGAACATACTGTTATCAGAAAATCCTGTAATCAGTTACTATTTCGAACAATATAATGTAATATGCCTATCAATTCTGGTTACATAATAGCACCACCAGTTGACAGATCCTTTCAAATTAGTCTATGTGTAAACCTTTGCATATATAGATATTACTATTACTATGTAAATATTTAATGATGAAATGATGATCTGAAAGTTTTAAAATTCTAAACCTATAAAATATTTTTCAAAACTCAACAAAAATGCTTTGAAAGCAATGAGTAAGTAATGATAGAATGAACCAATAGACAAATGAAGAATATGTACAGAAATCGGACGCGAATAATGATGAAACACACACAATGAAAGTAATTATTGCATGCCAAAAAGTAATCGAAAATACAAAAGTAAGAAAAATTTCATGAAACTAAATTGAATGAAATAAAGAAGGCAAACACCTGATGAAACAAACTGTGCGAACAACAATAACAGTAACAACGACAACAGGGGTGTATCACACAATGATGACGCTATGTGTGCAAAATGCAATGCAGCGATGTACAAAACAACAATAACAACAAACGAATGAGCGAGTATATTTCATGTTAAGTGAAGGAAATAAAACAAACAAACGAACGATGGAACGAACCAACCAACTAACAAACATACCAACAACAATTAAATGAAGAGCAAAGTAAATTTACCAGAAGTAGTTACATATAAGAAAACAGTGACCTGAAGAATTAGGTAAACAAGAATAAAGCATTAAATGTCGCTGAAATTCGGTTTGTGTCGTGTTTATCCTTTTCTTCTTAAATTGGCGGTTAAACTGTCAGGCAGGCACGAAAAAAAAGATACTATAAGGGTTACATGGGTTTATGAGTTACAAAAAATCGAGTTTTTTATTGTCTTCTTAAATTCTACAACACCCCTAGATTATTGCCTTTTCAAGTTGATCCAAGTAATAGTTTCGGATATACAGCCTTAAGAACATGTGCGCACGAGGCTAGTTAGGTTAAGAGCGCCGTCTTGAAACGCGTTTTTCTCGAAACTGTGTTTTTGAAGTTTGGTAAGATTTATCGAGAACTAATCAACCGATTTTCATGAAATTTTACAAAGATCTTTAAAATACAACTTTTAAAGACTTGGACGAAGGATTTTTTTTCGATTACAAGTATTTGAAAAAATAAAAATTTAGCGAAAATTTTTTGCAAAAATCCAAGTTTAAGTTGTTTCTTTTCCTTCGTCCAAGTTCATAGTGTTAAAACACATATTTTTTCACTTTAGATCCTGTAAGAAGTTCTCCCGATAACGCGAGCGCATCTTTCTTCCGACGGGTCGCAATGGCCGAGTTTGAAATATTTTTTTACAAAAATTTAAAAATTTCATCATTAATAGTGTATGTTTCTAACAATAAAAAATTCTAATAAAATATTTAATTTTTATGTGACAAAAGCATTTAAGTTTAAGAAATACTGCTTTTTAGCCGAGGAGCTTCATGTAACCTCTTAAGAGAGAAAGAGAGATATTAAGAGAAATCGGCCAGACAGCTGATGGTCAGCCAGTTGGTTAAGCAAGAAAAAAAGCAGAGCTCGAACCAACTGAAAGCCCATCAGCGGATTGCATCTCTCCTTTGCTGAAAGGAATGACCATATCATTGACAACTCGCACGAACGCTTGCCTGACAGTTTGACCAACAACTGTTGCTGTTTTCTTTTCTTCGTTTACTACTTTCATATTTTCCACTACCTCGACCTTTTCACGTTGGATCAGCTCACCTGCAAATTGCTGAGTAGTGCTTGAAAGTATGGCATCGTCAATAGAACGTTGGCACGACTACCGCTATTAGTGGCGCTGGTGGATTTTGGCGCACCACCGCCATCCTCGCCGACCTGTTGTACTAATTGCGACTGCTAAGCGATGATACGGAGTTCAAAGGCATACGTCAAAGGTGATGAGCGCCGAAAAAGAGCGGGATAGATAGGAATAAGAACAATATATTTGGTGTGAGTGAAAATTTGTGAAAACAAATTTGGTTGAGTCATTTGTACTTTTAAACAATTGAAAATGAAACGAGGATTGTAATTATATAAGTTGAAAATAGGAGCTAATATTATTGTAAATGTAATAAGTGCCTTGGAAATTACCAAGCTGAAGAAGATGAAAAAACCAAACAATTCAAGGAAACAACAACTCGAAAATGACAAAGCTGAAACAGAAACAAAATCGAATGGAACAAACAAATTGCGTTTTGTGACAACCAAAATGACAATAAAAAGAAATGCAAACCACAATATTGTAGACTAATATTTACAATTTCATATTTGAACGCAGACAACATTAACTACTTTTACTTGTAGTGCTTGTTGTCATTGTAATCCGGATTGCACGAGACCTCGCTTGCGCTCGGCGCTCACATGAAAAGAATGCGCGCTCACTAGCTGTCAAGACACACACTCCATTCGGGTAACTGGATTGACTAAATCTGATTACAAAAGCAATTCAGCCATCCAGCATTCGGTCACGAGAGCACTTCAATTCAAAAA